CCAGCAGCAAGCCTGGGGCTGAGCCCTCCTTCCTCCCCTCCCCAGATGGCAGCGTCTCCTCCTTCTTCAAAGCATCCTGCACTGCTTTATGGACGCAGGTTTGGGAGCAAAAGACCCCAGAGGCTGTGCATGCTGCTTCATGCTCAGCAGGGAGACTTTATTCTCTGGCTTCTGTATAAAAAATAAAAATAGAAAGCAAAGCCACAACATCCTTTGGCATAACAGACCTGGTGGTTTCACTCGGCACCAAAATGCATGTAGGTCAGGTGCTGCTGGGTGTAAGCCCATTCTCTCAGTGCAGATGTGACTCCATCCAGGTTTCGGTTATTCCCTCCTTTCCTTGCTTCTTTGCACATGATGTAAAACCCACGGCTGCTGTAACAGAAGTGATTTGGCTGTTCCCACAGCAGATCCTACAGTAAAACCCTACTGAAGGCTGCAAGGGTGGTCAGCAGTGCTAACAGGAGGGAGCAACAGTGCAAGGGCCCACACCTCCACACCTCAACAGCCCTTCTCCTCTGGTTGGCTCACAAGCAAAGTTGGCTCCTTGTGCTTGCACAGGTTTTGTGCTGAGCAGTGTTCAAGTGGGGTATTTAAGCTCAAGCCCTGCCCTGAGCACCCAGCTGCTTGTCCAGTGCTGCAAGTCTCCATCCTTGTGCACAAGTGATAGGAATCAACGCTAGCCTGAAATAAAGATTCATGTTGAAAATGAGTGAAAGGTGAATCACAGAATCATAGAATCACAGAATGGCCTGGGTTGCAAAGGAGCACAATGCTCATCAGCTCCAACCCCCTGCTGTGTGCAGGTCAACAACCAGCAGCCCAGGCTGCCCAGAGCCACATCCAGCCCGGCCTTGAATGCCTGCAGGGCTGGGGCATCCACAGCCTCCTTGGGCAACCTGTGCCAGTGCCTCACCACCCTCTGGCTGAAAAACTTCCTCCTAATATCCAACCTCAACCTCCCCTGTCTCAGTTTAAAACCATTCCCCCTTTTCCTATCAGCATCCACCCTCGTAAACAGAAGGGATGCACTGAAAGTTTACACTAGGGAAACTCCATAGGGGAAAGGGGAGTGGGATCCGTGCCTGGCTGCTGTGTGGGAGCAGTGCTGGCAGCGAGGCTGCTGGGCTCCATGTCACAGACATCCTGCCACAGGGAAGAGAACAAATATTTGAAAATGTAATCAGTCAGCGGGGATCTGTGACAGGATTAAACGATGACATAACACGCTTGTCTTGTCTCTGCTGCCTGCGCTAATGAGCATGATTTGAGAGCATTAGAGATGTATCCACGGGCATTACTGCGTGCGAGTCGGGGGATCACAGCCTTAATTAGTCTCATTCCATGGCAGCTGCCACTTGCCTGCCCGGTGCAGGCAGTGCTGTGTGTGCTCTGGGGCTGGGCAGGTGCTGCGCTGCGCCGTGGGGCGCATCTCTACGTGGGGTGCTGCTGTGGGAATGAATGTGGCAGAGGTCAGCATGCAGAGATTTAGGTGAGGAGGTGCAAAGGAGCATCTTGTAGCATGGCCTCAGATGGCACCGCATTCACTTGGTAGAAGGGAATGAAATGACTGGCGTGATGGATGAGATGCCTGTGCCCTGCTGCATTTAATCAGTGGCAGTGGGCATTTATTGCATTATATACTACCAATCAATAGTGATTAGTACCTCATTAACCTTTTCTTTTCTTTGGATTGTCTCCTTGCAGTGCTGGCATCGTCCCTCTGCCTCATACAGCTTTGAGGGCTGCAGGAGATGAGAGCTGCAGCTCCTGGGGGGATTGTGATCCTGCAGAGCCCTCACACAGCAGCAGCGAGCAGCTCCCTCCTTCCTCAGCCACCAACCAACACAACCTTAAAGCAAATGCTTTCCCCAAATGGAATTGTTTTCATTTGAATCGCTTTGACTTTGGGTTTTCATCCGTGGGAATGCATTCTGATAGAGCCGAAACAAAACATTTCAGGTAATTGAGTGAAGCTATTGCTCTGTTTGATTTGGGTAACTTCTTACATAGGCAGTATCCAAATGTAATCCTGTGGAAACAGTACATCGTGGTACGTCTGGAGCAGAAATACTCATCTTCAATCTTCTGCACGATGGAAAACAACAAGGCTCCCACCTGGCTGAATGCTTAGGGCTGGGTTTGCTCACAGCAATGGCACTGAGCAACGTGAGTGCATCGATTTCTAGGCATGCAGCTGCTGAAGGCTGTAGGAAGCATCTGAGCTCCTGCCCCTCTCCGTCTGAGCTCCTGTCGGCTGGGATGCATCAAACTGAACTGCATCTGATTCAGGGTGGCACTGCCCTGTTGTGAGCAGAACACCTCTGTGCTCATCACAGCCCTCAGAAAATCCCCTCGATGGGGGTGGGCACGCACCTCTGCTGTGTGTAGCACCCAGCACAGAGGGAACCTGTGCCCAAATGGTGCTGAGTTCAGCTCCTGTGGTGCTGAGGAGCTGCTGCACCAACTAAAACCTCACAGCTTCTGTTGCCCAGAATGAAGCACTCAGTTAATTCTTGTCTGTGCTGAGGAGAGCACCTGCTCGAGCTGTGCAGACCAATGCAGGGACAGGGGATTGGGAGCCCATCTGCTAAACAGGGATTTAGCCAGGCTGAGTGCTAGCCATTCCCTGGTGCTCCCTTAAGGATCTGGGCAGCACAGCAGTTGTCACTCCCTCGCTGCCCCTCCGAGCTCCATCCAACTCTGCAGCAGAGAATTCCCAACCAGAATGAAGTTTCCCCCTCTTCTTGCTGTGCCACCTTTTAATTAGGAGCGCAACTGCAGTGGGAGCACACAGCTCACTGCTCAGAGTGCTGGAGAGTAGTTAGTGGATTAAAGTGCAAAGGTTAGGCAATTCATTCCTGCTTTGGATTATTTGGTTCTTGAAAAAGGAAATAACACCTTTTCAGCTCTCGTTTGCTCCATGGTGCCCTGCTGTACGATGCAAAGTGTGCAGGATCCAGTGGCGTTAATTCAGGTCCTGCTGAGCCAGGGCTGAGCATGGATTCATCCTGCCTTTGTCACCCAAAGCACAGCTTCCATGAGCCATGCTGCCAGTGGTTGTGAGCCCTGCTCAGTGCTGGGAGCTCTGGGAGGCATCACCCAGCACCAAAGGGCCGTGCCCAAGGGCTGGATGAGCCTTTTCCCCTTTGCTCCAAGCCTATGCACTGTTCTCAACTGTGTGGCTTAAGTGCTTAAAGCAGTGGGAAGGATAAAGCCCCCTGGAAATTAATCTGCCTTGCTTCAAGGTTCCATGGGAAGATCTCCATCTCTTCCCTCTCCAAGGAGAAGCAGCAGGTGTCCCTGGCTGGGCAGTATCAGGTGAAGGCCCAACTTGCACAGTGTCTGAAGAACATCTTGGGATCAATGTGGGAGTGTTCTGTGAGTACCTGCCAGCAGAACTCAAGCAGTATTACATTCAGCCCTGCTCCAGAGCGCTGCCCTGAGGGATGTCCAGAGCAACAGCAGTGGAATGGGCAAACAGCCCCCAGCAGAACCCTCACAGCTGCAAGAAAATGGCATTCTTCCCAAGTGCAGCTCCTTACGTTGACTTTGCATCCATCTCTGTTGGGTAGCGTTGGGTTCAAGCCTTCGGCTTTGTGATAGAATCCAGAGTAACAGAATGTCAGGGAGCAAATCCCAGCGCTGGGGAGCTTTGGGTCATTGCATGGCAATGGTTCTGCAGTGCCAAGGAAGGCCTGGGCTGATGTGCTGGGTGTCTTGTAGGACAAAGCAAGGTTGGAGGCGCTCAGGCCCTGTGCTTGTGGGAATCATAGCACTTACACAGACGAGCCCTCAGGGGGGTTTGCTAAGCATTAAAATCACAATTCGAAGACATGCAATACCTTGTTTGCCCTTCTCCTCTTGTTTGGCTGATGTGGGAGTGTTTTTGTTTTTACTCTCTTTCCTGTCATATATTGTCCTTTTTTTTTTCTTTTTTTTTTTTCTTTTTTTCCTCAGCAATGTTGACTGTTCCATCTGCTTATTTATCACCCACAGTTAGAACCTGAATTTCAATTACCAATCTGCTGTCAGGTTCTCTTTTAAGCTGAAAGCCCCAACAAAGCCTTAACACAGCAAACTGCTTGTAATGCAGCTGTTAGAGCTTCTCCATCATATCCACGAGCAAAATGAATACTTCTGGTACCAAGATGCATCTGATAAATTAGGTTTAATCCTCCTTGACGGCAGCAGGTAGAAAGCACTTCAGCAAAGATAGAATGATTTTGAATGACTGAGATGGAAAACATGCTTTGCTCTGGAGATGCAAAAGACACTGAGAACTCGTATAGTGAGAAATAATTTATCTAGAAAGTGGGAAAAACAGTGTCTGGGGCAGGGAGGTTGGGTTGGATGCCAAGCTTGCCGTTGTGGGTTGTTCCAGGGCCAGCAATAGAGGATGTCCATCTCCATTCCACAGACCTTTGTCCAAATCCCACTGATACGGGATTAAAATGAAGCTCCTGCCAAAGTTCTCCACTGAATCACGGCTGAAGGGATGAATTCCATACCCACATCTGGGTAACATCCTCCTGCCCAGAGCAATGGAAAAACCTCCAGGCGGGTCAGGTAACGGGGTCAGCAGGCTGAGCTCAGCCTGTAACTGATCCCACAGCACCGGGAGGGGTGGAGGTGCTGGGGGAGGCATCTGGTGCCGCTGAGGAGCGGTTCTATTCCATTCACCCCACAGCGACGGAGATCCATCCATACAACGAGCTGCTCACCGGTCTCAGCCTAAGAGCGATCACCTCGCGGGCCGGGGGGGCGGTAATTAGGGCCGCGTTAATTGCCGCGGGGCGGGGCGGGAGGGGGGGGGGGGGTGCGGCCCCGCTCTGTATAACCGTCTCCCAGCAACAGCGGACGCGTCACTTCCTGGGGGAGCGGGCGGGCAGGTGCGGTGCGGTGCGGTGCGGTGCGGTGCGGTGCGGTGCGGTGCGG